GGGGGGGGGGGGATACTAGAATCAGCTTGTCTATCTGTCTATCTGTTAACTCATTCTAAAGTAGCGGACCAATTTCAACGAAGATTTCCAGATATGATAACTTACACCCGAAGTTGTGCATCCAGATATTATTTTTTTCATTCTGACTTTTTTCTTCTTCAAAGTTATAGCCTTATGTTGAAAAATCCTTGTCCAGACAACTCCTCCAAAACTAAGGGGTCAATTTCAACGAAAGTTTCCAGATATGGTAACGACCATCTGATGGTGTGCATCCAGGATTTTTTTTTTCAATCTGACCCTTTTTGCACGGAGTAATGGCCCTTTGTTGAAAAACACTTGTCCAGGTAACTCCTCCAAAACTATGGGGCCAATTTCAATGTCGTGCATCAGGGTAGTATTTTTTTCATGACGACCCTTTTTAAAAATCTTTGTCTTGACAACACTTCCTTCACTACTAGAACGACTTCAGCAAAAGTGGGTCATCTCGCCTAACAAGATGTGGTATGAAAGTATGTTTTGGCATGGGGAGGTAGTACAAGAAGCATGTCAGTGTCATATACACATACATAATGACTGGTGGAAGACTAGGGATTAATTTGCAATGCTTTGCCTTAGTTAGCCTTTAGATTACAGTTCCGGTTGATATAGGAGCGGGAATATTAGTTAGTCTTTGGCCTAAAGTTCTAGTTATTATTTTTGTTGCCTTTCGACCATTCATTAAACAAAATATGAAGGGATATTACACTATTTTATATCATTAATTCTAAATAAATAAAGCAAGGAAAGATACCCTTGCCTGACTCCCCATACAAATAAATCATTTCGGCACATTTGGTTTGTGTGACCTTGAACAAAGGTCAAGGTCATCAAAATTAACAACACTTTTCATGAACAACCTACTCGCCAAATATCAACACCCACGGACCTTTAGTCATGAAGGAACACAAGTTAAAGAAAATGTGGAAAGAAAGCTATGTTCTCCTTTTTTTGAACCAAAATTAGTATATGACAAATTTACCGGTTTTCATTTTTTTTGAAATTCCTGATGTTAAAAGATATTATTGGTAGCCAACTTTTTAACAAGTAAGAAAAATAGACTAGTTTTAGAACTATATGAATTAACGTGTCAAAAATGGAAAATTTCTCATTAAAAAAGAAATTTCACACATTTTTCTGCTTAAATCTTAAATAAAAAGAACAATTCTTTATTGAAATAGTGTAATATTCGGTATCAAAATAACAGTTGAAATACGTTGCACACGATGATGATATAATTTTATAGTAATTGTGCCATTAAAATGCTCTAGGAGGAATTGTATTACTCGCTCTTTAACACCCACACAGGTGTAAGTCAAGGAGGTCCCATTTATCATCAAATGAATTCTGAAACTAACTGTTCCTGATTTAAGTTTCCTATACCCATACCTTTTTGGATTTATCTTGTTTTGAAATTCCAAGTGGGGGCCGACGCTAATGTTAAGTCTCCATAGGCGTTGACCCTACCTTTCCTGATCTCCAGCAATTAACATACTTCTTGATTTCCTGTTTCTGAGGGATTGACATTCTTCTTGATATCTGAACTACCGTTAAAAAATCCTGGTCCCGAGTGATCAATATGCCTCTTACGGAATGAGTGTTGTTGTAATGATTATAAATGACCCAAGAAAGTGTGTTCCAAAGATCTATATGTAGCAAATGATTCTTGTTGAGAAAATGAAAACTACTCGTGACTATATACTTTTGGAGATATGGTGAAAATCTAGGTGTTGCTCGACAAATGTTTTCCGAAATAAACTTGACTTCATTTTCGGTTTTTACCCAACCCAATCTATGTGTATTTACGCAATATTGAGAATGCAAAAAGATTGACACCGGTGAACGCGTAACACTTCATGAAAGTTATTTCACTCAACGTTTGTTTTGGAATTTTTCAGTATTTGTTTCCTTCTGCTGCGTCAGTTGTTGTTTAGTTAGTGGAATGGTACGAATATCATATAGCTAGATCGTCGGTGTTCGGAGTTAACGAGATTGAACCAACCCACTGACCAAGCTTGCGTTAGGCATCTATTAGTAGACGAGGAGAGTACTGAAAGAAATGTCATTCACCAAGACCGCTTAAACCATATGTGACGGTCACATGCTGCCGTGATATATATGGAACATTTCTGGGATGATAGTTCAATTTAATTGTTGGGATCAAAAACAAAGTTAAAGGAATAAATACTTCTAATAATTTTAAATAAAAATAGATAATGTGCAAACGTCACTATATTAAATAAAACATGTATTATGAACTAACAGTCCATTCCTATAAAATACGCGACATTTGTAAGTGTATACGCCGATTGTTTAAATGCGCGGCACGAACGAACATTTTACTAATCATCGTAATCGTCTCATTGTGGCTCGTGTGTGGTAAAATCTAGCACATTTGCGATGTAACGCCACTTTTCATTGGTTAATAATCATGTATTATTGGACGATAGACCGTGCGCGTGCATGTAATATTTTCTAAGAAGAATTTCACTAATTGATAACATTCCCTAGCATCAATCAATGGGTGGGTGAACCATGATATAGCCTTTTTACCTGTAAGGTCCGTGATCCATTGTAGCACAGGGAATATATGTTACATTTAAAGAACTAGAAGGTCGCTTGAAACAAGGAATACACGATACATTCTTTAACAAATGATTCAAGGACTTGGAGCGTTTATCATTTATGGTTAATTAATTTCTTAGAATTATCATATATATCACTTGGGTATTCATAAATGAACTACTGAAAATACCACTTGGTGTTTGATTTGATTGCAATTTTTTTTCACAATAGTTATGGATTATGAGTTGGGATTTCCATATCGTTTTCAAAATAAAACATACCAGAAAAAACGATTCACAATAATGTACTAATGAATATAATATTTATATTTATTATACGTAGCGTAATACTGATAAAACTATCAATAGAAGACAAAGTATTATATATTTTAAACACCACTGCATGTATATACATGCACTTATAACTTATATCACGCTTTAGTCATTAACATACTGCTTTCGTTAAAGTATACTGCTTAAACCATAGATATGCAACATCTAATATTTTATTTATTTATTTATTGAGCAGACGGGATGGGAGAAAAACACAGTATGTATAAACTCATAAACCCCCCAGAAATATGATAAAAAGATTACCTTGTGAACTGTAGTTTACTCCAGCGCATAAGGATTTGAACTCTAATGCACAGGCCTGTTAACTCTAATGCACAGGCCTGTTAACTCTAATGCACAGGCCTGTTAACTCTAATGCACAGGCCTGTTAACTCTAATGCACAGGCCTGTTAACTCTAATGCACAGGCCTGTTAACTCTAATGCACAGGCCTGTTAACTCTAATGCACAGGCCTGTTAACTCTAATGCACAGGCCTGTTAACTCTAATGCACAGGCCTGTTAACTCTAATGCACAGGCCTGTTAACTCTAATGCACAGGCCTGTTAAATCTAATGCACAGGCCTGTTAACTCTAGTGCACAAACTAGTGCACAAAATAGTGCACTGGAGTTACATGCGCTGGAGTTACATATTGTAGCTTTTTTGGTAAACTCCAATGCACTAGGCTATTAACCAATGTTTGTTCCCAACTGTACGTTGCTTATTTCTCAGATAAGAGAACAATTACATTTCTCTCTAAAAAAAAATCACTTAAGCTCGGTAATAAAGTTAGTGATAATAAAATCACGTGTACGACGACATAAGTATATTCTGGGTGGCCGTAGAATAATTTCATCATGACTAATCGGTCTGGGATGCTCCAACCCTTAGCAGGGTTTTTTAAACATTGGGACAACGAAAGTTTTAAATATTAGGACAACGAAAGTGTCCAACACTGGTACAACGATCATTATTAAAGGCGTGGTAAGTCGATCATCTCTTTGACCCTTTTCGTGCATAAATACATTGACACATGTCATTCTATTACAACATGTACTGATAGCCATGCCACACTAAATGCCGAACTCTGGGTATCTGTAGTACTCAGAATATGTTACATATTTTCTTGAATCTCTTTCAGTTTGTTGCTCATCCGAACTGCCAGCAACACATGACGACCCTATGGTACGGGTCGGAGATGGGATTCCTACAATCGCTGCCCTCCTGGAAGCAGCTGGCGTTTGCCGTGTGTTTTATTCCATGTATACCTGTGATGTGTATAGCATATGTAATGGCACCTAACACAAAGGTAAAAAACAACCTAGTATCTATCAAGGTGCGCACCATAGTACTAAGGTGTAAACCCTCTATCCATCCACACAATTAATGTTGCTTAATCCTACCTGTACAAAATATATTCAAGTGTCCTCTTGTACCAAAACATTTTCCAAAATCCTACCCCCACCTACATGGTACGTACGCCAGACTCATACAGGTACCAATTATTGCAGTACTTAAGGATGTACTCTTCTGAGGTTTCAGTCACGTTCAAGTCTCGTTTTGATCTGGTGTAACGGGTTTTTGTAATATTTAACAAATTATGATAAGTAAAATAGCAAACACACATCTAGAAAACATGTAAAAAAAACTAGATGTCTGCTGTGCGTAGAACACTTTTTACAAGAATTTAAAAAAAATGACCATTTTGGCGGCCATTTTGAAAAAGTGTATTTTTGTGAATTTCTTGCACTTCACAAAGGTCCAAAATTCACCTTTTTTGACACTAGATTGATCACTTAAATTGTCATTGTGTCACCATTTTTAATTGTAGCAGGTTCACTTTGGCTGTACAACTTTATAATGTTCAATATGATCAAAATAATATGCAAAAAAAGTGGAAAGTTATATATTATTGATATTTTTTTTACATATTAGGGTAACTGAAGCACTTTTGATTTTTGACCCCGAAAAAGATGAAAAATAACACAAATAATAATGGGACAAAAAAAGAAGCACACCGACCCCCAATTTTTGTGTCTGTTTTAGAAAAAGAAACTCATTTTCTTTCGATTCACTGAATACTAAAAAAAGTTTATTACAGGATTTGTTTATATCAAGCGTTTAATCGGCAAAATATGGTGAAAAATGTGCATTTTTTCATTAAAAAATAAGGGGTAGGGGTAACTAAAATCGCATTTTTGAGTAAAATTAATAAGTTTAAGACATTTTACTTCCATAGTTTCAAAGAAAATAATATTTTTATCAATTCTACAAACATTCATAGATATCTGATAACACACTTGGAAGAAATTGTATGAATTTGTTCTGCCAATGGTCAAAACCCGAAAATTCACCTAAAATCACATATTGTGTTAAATTGGTATCTTTGACCGATCATAGCACAAAAACGAACACACCGACATATAGTTCTTTTTGCATTTTCTACTATGCCATTATCTCCTTTTTCCAAAAATCAATATAAGAAAAAAAGTTTAATAGAGGAATTTTTTGACTTCTCAGAGGCGTACATCCTTAAAATGCGCACAACTGCATAAGTACCATTCAAGGTACATGTATGTCACCTAGTTTGGTATGTATCAACCAAAGCTGCGTTTAACAAATATTTGACGCCTGGTCACATCTGTCCATGGGCCATTTTTTTAAGTGATAAGAGGATTACAGAGAAGTTTTAACTGCGTCACATGCTGTTCTCATGGTGAGCCGATGTGTATATCGTATAATCTGATTATTTTAGATATTAAACAACAGCTTTACCAAACCTCCTCTGTGCGTGAAAACAGGTTTGTAGGTAAATGAATAAAACAAGCGTTTAGAGCGCATCTGTATTGTCCATGTGTAAAAATCATTATTTCGCCAAGAGTATGTACTTAATCTCGCATTGCAAATTCGTTTTATATGAAAGTACACTACAATCTCTGATAGACAAAACTGATAAATTTTTTTTCTCTTTCTCATTGCCTTATCTATTTCTGGTCCATATAGCCCTGTTACCGATCTATACCGCTAGCCGTTTTGGATATGTTGTTGTTTCTGTGCACACACTGTCAGGGTAACGATATTATTCTCCACAAATCACGTGCTATGCTAGCTGATAAGCAGATGAGGTTGGCCCTGCACTGCATCAATTAACAAATAAAACGTGAGTGTGGCGTCCCGGGATCGCCGGTCTCAGGGCAGGGTTTTAGACGTGCCAGTCCAACTCCAATCATCGGGTATGTTCTGCAGGTCACACTTGTCAATTAGTTGACAGAGTAAGCGGTACATAGGCACTGGACATAGCTATACATTTAATCGATCTCATAAACAACGTCATGGTTCAAGGTCATTACAAACAGTTTGAGGAACTGACAAACGAGGGGTACAATCGTTAAAATACCAAACCATTGGGTTCCATGTAACTCCGATCAATGTCACGTGTTCGATAGATAGACCCCAAACCACATAGGCCACCACATTAATCCTGATAGATCTGGAACAAATGAGAATAAACCTGATTTTCATTTGAAAATATCAACACAAAACCTTCTGTAGACATAACAATACTAAATTAAATTTACAGCAGACCAGGAAAAACCCATTAATAGATCGAATTAGTGTTATATTTATATGTAGATACAGGATTCATTGTCGTATATCATCTATAATCAGGCATGTGATCTCATAAAACGGTTAAATCCTATTGGATGTTACGAAATATTTTAATCTGGTATAGCAGGTAGCAGAACGGTGATATCCTGCTGTTTGGCAATGTTTAACTATCGCATTTAATCGATATTAATGGTAAAACTGTCCGGTTATTTTATGACAAAAAATGTCTAAAGATCAAAATAATTGCAAAATTATTTTCTGAAAAAGTAATTGTACATATTAGAGTATTAAATAGTTTGACATTTTGATTATCAGAACGGTAAAACTTGTTGTAGATCTTGGAATTAATGTATTAAAATGTGACACATCAGTTACGAGAAAAGGCAGTGGTGTTGAATCCATCAGAAAGGTTCAATCCTATTATTGGTCTAGCAGGCGTTCATTTCGTATTTCACTTTTAAGAGAAATGGCTGAATCCAATTTTAGATACAGAAATATTTAAATCACGTACCAGAACGGTTAAATAGTATTGAACAGTATATCAATGGGAATGTTTCAATGTGGTAGTTCGTGTTCAAAAAATAAAGAAAATCATACTGTATTTCTTGAAATCTTAAAGTGTGATATTGCACTTATAAGTAGAGTTGAATCTTTTGTATAAAGTAATATCTGAATGTGTGTGTGGTTTTCTTATAATTATAAGAACATTTGAATGCATATGTAGATGTGGGAATATTGAAATGGGGAAAAAATAAAAACAACATATGCCAGATATAGCAAGTGATATTTCATTAATTAAACAGTAAAATCGCATGTATATAAGGGGATATATAGTTGTGGTATTTCATTTACAAATGTTTCCAAACGGAAGCCCTATATTACAGTAGAGTAGAAATATAAATGCGCTTTACTGCAAAGAACTGGAACTTTGTTCCCAACGTTTTAACATGTCACGTTTGTCATTTGATATGTTAAGGTTGACAAATATAAGGAAGGTAAATACTGTTGTAGATATGAGGATATATGATACTGTGGCATTCCTCCGATAAAGTTGTCATATCTCGTTGTGAATTTGGGGATATAGGATAGTGTGGTACATGTAATTCAGTGAAAAAGAGAGGCAGTTTCATGTTTTGATATTTGCATATTTCAAATGTGCGCAATTAGCAGAAAGCGTTCAATTCGTCTGAAGTTTTAGATATGGTAAATACTGACAAGAATGGTAAAACTTGCTGTAGACCAAAATGATTCAGTATGCTATTAATATTATAATATTTCTAAAACCATTTTGTACATCTTGGAATATTTAAATATGGTATTTCATTGACAAGAAGTAAAACTCACTTTAGTTCTTTGAATATTTAAATTTGCCTTTTCACTATAATGAAATACAATACACTGCAGATTATGTCGGTATATACCCCTTGCTGTACTTTACTGACATTACCCCTTTTCTTTAATAACTGCAGCTGTTATTCTATTGTCAAACGGAACGGAAAATCCTACTGGTAATGTAGGAGTATTAAAAAGTAGGAATTAAATAATATAATTGGCAAAATTGAATTTTAGTTATAGGAATAATTAAATTCGATATTTCACTGAGGTGCATCACCAACATCTGGAGTAGATCTGAGTATATTCCAATATGACATACCACTTAAAAGAATTGTTACCTTAAGGCGATAGATCTGGAATATAAGATTTCGTGGTATTTCGCTTGTCGGAATGGCAAAACTCTATTTTAATGTTTAGAGTATTTGAATGTGGTATTTCATTTATAAGAATGCTTAAATCCTTGCAGATCCGGAAATCTTAAAATGTGATAATTCAAATGGAAGAAGGGTACACCCGTACTGTAGGTATTGATTTAACTGTAGAGTTTATAGGATCGGTAAAAACGTATTATAGATTTTAAATGGGGTAGACTTTCATTTATATAAGAAATATTAAGCGTACTTTCAAACGTGAATATCTAATAGAAATAATTAATTGTAATAAACAACAAAACCCTGTAATATTTGTTTTTACAAAATACTAAAAAATAGGAAGTAAACAAATTCAATATTAAATGCAATCCTGTCATCATCCCATTGACATCATCCCTGTGTCATCATCCCTGTGTACTCATCCCTGTGTCATCATCCCATTGACATCATTCCTGTGTACTCATCCCAGTGCCATCCCCAGTGCCATAATCCCTGTGTACTCATCTCAGTGGCATCATCCCTGTGTCATCATCCATGTGGCCATTTTGTCCATGTAGGACTCGTCAGTAAAAAGAAAAGAAGAATGACAATTTGTGTCTAAAGAGCCCGAAACATGTGTAGAATAAAGCAAGGTGCCTCTGAACTGTTTGTAACATTTCACAAACGTTGGGCATGTATATACCAATACGCCTAGCTTTGATAATTTTTGTCAGATTATGTCTAACTCTGGTCAGGTCTATCAGATTATGGCTAACTATGATCATTTTTATCAAATTATATTTAAGTTTGATAACCTTTTTTTTAAGAGGATGTCTTTTTATCATGTTTATCAGATCATGTTCAACTTTGATCATGTTTATCAGATTTCGTCTAACTATGATCATTTTTATCAAATTATATTTAAGTTTGATAACCTTTTTTTTAAGAGGATGTCTTTTTATCATGTTTATCAGATTATGTCCAACTTTGATCATGTTTATTAGATTATGTTTACATTTGATAACGTTTATCAGAATACATGTATGTCTAGCTTTGAATATGTTTATCAGATTATGTCAAAACTGTTCATGATTCATAATTTCTCGACTTGGTCATCTTAATCAGAGAATATTTCACCTTGAGATAAGAAGAAATCACTGATTCACATTAAACGTCATGCTCATGTATTCTCCTAGGCTGGATCTGTGATGCGTTGTCCCGTGACTAAGTTTATCACCCATACGACGTCACACATGTGCTTCCTCGTGCTGCTGGCGGCCGCTACATTCCGGCTGACCGAGAGTGGAGTGTCCATCACGTCAACACGTGAGATGAGTAGTCCGGCGTTCGCGCACCTGTCGCACGAGGAGAAGATACAGAGCCTGATGAAAGAGACCCTACGGCCTTCCAGCACACTTCTCACTCATGTCCAAATCTGTATAGTGTTCTGGATATTAGGTAATACCAGCCTATAGTGTTCTGGGTATTATGGTATAACACCTATGTCAACATCTGTGTAGTATTTCCTAAAGTAAACGAAACCTTTATATCTCCCTTATTCCACGCTCGGAAATATTTATCATTCCGTTTACCGTTTTCTGGTCACATCTATTACTGTTTAAAATAATGAAAATAGTTCCAAGCGACATATCTGCAAGGGCATTAGTCAAGCACATACCAATTGTGAACACCCCTGCAGTCTAAGATTTCTAAAGGTTACAGACTGAAACATTCATACCAGGCGATTGGTATGATTTGTTTAGTGGTCTCATATTCTGCTGCACCAATAGCTCAGTTTGGGAGCTACAATGTATCTATTTCCTCTATTGTCTTACCTCGTTTTCCGTTTTCTGACGCCTTGCTTTCCACCACCTCGCTTCCGACCTCGATGTTTAGTTTTTGCAAAAGCGAGGAATGTTATGGATTCTCTCTGTGACGGAAACTTCATCCTGAATGGGTGGTGTCCAGCATGGTTGGTCCGTTGGTATTATACAGGGTTTAGTTTCGTGTTGTTGTGTCAAGGTTATGACATTTCAGTGAGACAATGTGATAGAGTTGAAGTGGCCTAAACATCCATGGACACTATTTTCACGTGACCAATTGTGGCAAGGACGTATCCCGGAAAACCCCCACAATAAACAAACTTTTAACGGGGGCCCACTTTGTCAGGCAGTTGTCAAGCAATGATATTGTGGTGAAGTGTGAATGCCCTTAAAACGTTAACTGTTTTAATTTATAGTAGGGAAGGGGAACTTTGTAAATGAGCTTCGAAAAGATGTGATGTTTTGTCTCCCAGTCATGTAATCTATCTAGACAAATAAAGCTAACTGTGAGGTATAATACTATGTTATAATATCTGTTAGATGTTTTGGCTTTATCAGGAATCGCGCCAATTACTTTTCAGAGTATGGATTGTGAAAACCGGTTAGGCAAAACGATGTATAAAGGTTTGTCGTCCATGCAATAAATCATTATCACAATTATCACATGCAAACATCCAAATACTGTAATCGTAATAACGTTATTAACACCGTGCTTCTTAAAAACTGGTTTTAAACTTACTACAAACAGAATGAATATAACGGTCAACAATATGTCCACTTGTTATCTGAGTAGCTTTGATTACTAATGGTTACATCGGTATACTCATCTGTAAATAATAAGTCTGTCGCTAGTTTTGAGATCTGTCACGTTTTGAGATCTGTCACGTTTTGAGATCTGTTTTGAAGTTGTTATGTCTATACAACTGCCTTTGTTTCACAGGGTTGCTTTGGATAGAGTGTAAACAGATCTACCATACAGGTGCAAGCTCCTACCTGACAGACTATATCAACTTTATGGACTTCAGTGTGCTGTCAATGTACCTGGCATCCTACGTGATGAGATTCTTCACGGAATACAAGGTGTCAAACGCCGACAGGTAAGCAACCCGAACATATCATATGATACGGTAGAGTTAAATGCCGACAGGTAAGCATCAGGAACTTATCATATGATACAGTAGAGTTAAATGCCGACAGGTAGGCATCAGAAACTTATCATATAATACAGTAGAGTTAAATGCCGACAGGTAGGCATCAGGAACTTATCATATGATACAGTAGAGTCAAACGCCGACAGGTAAGCATCAGGAACTTATTATATGATACATTAGAGTTAAACGCCAACAGGTAAGCATCAGGAACTATTATATGATACAAAACAGTCAAACGCCGACAGGTAAGCATCAGGAACTATTATATGATACAAAAGAGTCAAACGCCGACAGGTAAGCATCAGGAACTATTATATGATACAAAACAGTCAAACGCCGACAGGTAAGCATCAGGAAATTATTATATGATACAAAAGAGTCAAACGCCGACAGGTAAACATCAGGAACTTATTATATGATACATTAGAGTTAAACGCCGACAGGTAAGCATCAGGAACTTATTATATGATACAGTAGAGTCAAACGCCAACAGGTAAGCATCAGGAACTTATTATATGATACATTAGAGTTAAACGCCAACAGGTAAGCATCAGGAACTTATTATATGATACAGTAGAGTCAAACGCCGACAGGTAAGCATCAGGAACTATTATATGATACAAAACAGTCAAACGCCGACAGGTAAGCATCAGGAACTAATTATATGATACAAAAGAGTCAAACGCCGACAGGTAAGCATCAGGAACTATTATATGATACAAAACAGTCAAACGCCGACAGGTAAGCATCAGGAACTAATTATATGATACAGTAGAGTCAAACGCCGACAGGTAAGCATCAGGAACTAATTATATGATACAGTAGAGTCAAACGCCGACAGGTAAGCATCAGGAACTATTATATGATACAAAACAGTCAAACGCCGACAGGTAAGCATCAGGAACTATTATATGATACAAAACAGTCAAACGCCGACAGGTAAGCATCAGGAACTAATTATATGATACAAAAGAGTCAAACGCCGACAGGTAAGCACCAGGAACTTATTATATGATACAAAAGAGTCAAACGCCGACAGGTAAGCACCAGGAACTTATTATATGATACAAAAGAGTCAAACGCCGACAGGTAAGCTAGATGAATTACTAGATATAATACACACATAGATTTTAACCGAAACAGGCAAGAATGTTAATAAACAACTAGCATGACCTACATAGCTAATTTATTTTGATACAACTGACTTGGATAAACAATTAACATTGCCTGCACAACTAGTTTATGTTTACACAACTGACTTGGGTAAACAATTAATGTAACCTACACAATAAAATGTTTCAATACACTGACTTAGACAAACATCTAATATTACTTACACAGCGGTTTTAATACACAGTCCTGGACAACAAGCATTACCTATACAACTCATTTGTGTTTATACAACTGACTTGGACAAACAACTAACATAACCTACACAACTTATTTATGTTTATACAACTGACTTGGGCAAACAACTTACATAACATTCACAACTAATTTAAGTTTACAACGCACTTAGACAAACAATGAACATCACTTACATAACTTAGTTGATGTTTATACAACTGACTTGGAACAATAGCCAATCATGTACTATATTGGCTACATTTTCGTTACAGAAGCCACCTATTATTGGCTCACAGAGAAGCTTCATTAATGGAACACTAAGATTACACACAAACCACAAGAGGTGCTAGCCGCTATCACGGTGCAGAATGTATACTCTTATTTTGTACCAGTTGCTTTGTCTGTGATACGTATCACAGACTGCATGGCCTCGTCATCTAAATCATTTATCATTTCATATTCTATAGCAGTTTGTGGGAGTTAGACAAGGTTACATCCGATTGGTGGGTCATCTGTTTTTCAACAAACCTCTTGTCTATATTCCAGTCCTAATGATAAAACCCGGCTACCTACTAGCGTAGTCTCCTGCCTGAGGTTGTATATATAGAGAATTTATCGAAGATCGTTTGTACGGTCTTACAAACAATGTGAGGAGTAATACTGTTTAGTTTAGTCTGTGGCAATGGCAAATTTTATCTTTGTCATAGAAAAGCCCGTCACGAGTTATGGTGTTCAAACTGATAACAGTCCACGCTAAGTAGACACATGGGTAAAGTGATTGTTATTACTAAACTGATATTGCGTTTTTCCTATGTCCCAGCTGAAATGTTCAATAAAGCACCGTAACCGTATCAGTGTAGAACCATTTAAGTGGTGTCTGCATATATAATGTGTGTATAAATTAAACATATATATTACATTAATGACAGTTGTCATTTGCAGCATCCACGTAACAGTGTACAGATGTATTCCACTAAACAACCATAGAGTTGTGTGCCATGTGACTTGTTCTCTATCACATGGTTTGGCATCGTGATCTTTAAAATGAAACCAAACCTTGTTTGACATGAGCAAGGCGAGGTCAAGTATCACGTGGCTGGGGAAAATCTGTATCACGTTTGAGACTGAATACATTCATAGTAAAATAGTTGAATTCTAACTGCATGAAATGTTGTAATATTAGCAAATGACATGCGGCCATCTAATTCCGGAAAAACTGATAAAAGAAATATCCTATTGATGTAGTGTTTAATTTAGTTTGCTTGTTTTAGAGATGCTTGCATTATCAGGTATTTCAACAAAGAATCTCCTCAACATAACATTCTTAGGGTCGCGTGAAGCAGTCAAAAATCTTATGCTTCAATATATGCGCAGCACTTAGCTACTGCAACTTTCCAAAATATCATGTACCAGTCTACTTTCATTTACATGTATTTTATTAGCAAGATGTGCGCCACTTAGCAGCTGCAACTATCCAAAATCTCATACACCAATCTACTTACATTCACATGTAGTTTAACGTCATTATGTTCGCCGCCTGGCTACTGAAGAAATATACTTATTTGCAATCATAGTTTCTTTACGGAACAATGCGCGCCACCCAGTTACTAAAACTGCCCAATTGTACAATTTACGTATATTCGGGGTATTTTGACGGCGTGAATGCATCAAACTAATGAAACTGTCAATTTTACATACTTTTATCCACTTTCATTCAAAGGTTCTTTAATGGAACGATGCGTGCCACACAGCTACTGAAACACTCCAATTACACATACTTCAATCTCCTCCTTGATGAAATCAAAGACCCATCGAACTCGCCGACAAATTATTTTATGGAGGCATGTAAGTAGAACAGCACACAGCAAGGTCTTCATTGACAATCGGACACTATGATATTTCATCGAGTAGAGAAATTTGGATTAGATTGTCAGAGAAATAATAAGCGTTATTGAGTATAGAAATATTGGCAGTCGATAAAGTATACTAGGAACGTTCCTGTTTGATCTACGTCATTTCGCAACGCGTGTGTAACTAATAACATGTGCCTACCTAATACCACAATGCAGTGCGACGATCCGGGATCAATAGAGTCTTCTCTAAGGTTGACTTAGATTACATCGATTCTCTGTGATGCATCTGTTAATCAAGCGTTGTATATTGTTGAGTTCCTTCTTTAGATTTATTCTTGGTGATAACTATATCTCCAGTTTCAGTCTTAATCCAGTTTTCACCATCCTTTATTAGCCTGATTGTTGTAAACAGCAGACAATCTAAGTCAGCCTCCATTGCACGAAGCCTTATCCTAACCCACCATCAGTTCCTAAGTTTTATAGGAATAATAACTGACGAAACGCTAGCAATAGTGTCATCTTTTATGTGTCCTTGTCTTTTGATTCTAAAACTGCTGGAGAGGAACAATGTCCTCACCATACCATGCGTTCAACATATCTCATATCATGCGAGTCATGGTTTAAGTAAGGGTTTTTGTGGTGGTTAAAGTAAGGGTTTATGTTGTCGTTAAAATAGCGGTTTATGTTGTAGTAAAAGTAAGGGTCAATATAGTAGTTAAAGTAGCGGTTTATGTTGTGGTTTAAAGTAAGGGTTAATTTTGTGGTTAAAAAACGAATTTATGTTGTGGTTAAAGTAAGGGTTAATTTTGTGGTTAAAGTAAGGGGTTTTGTTAAGGATTTATGTTGTGGTTAAAGTAGCGCGTTATGTTGTGGTTAAAGTAGCGGTTTATGTTGTGGTAAAAGTAAGGGTCTATATTGTGGTTAAAGTAAGGGTTTTTGTTGTGGTTAAAGTAAGGGTTTTTGTTAGGATTTATGTTGTGGTTAAAGTAGCGGTTTATGTTGTGGTTAAAGTAAGGGTCAATATTGTGGTTAAAATACGAATTTATGTTGTGGTTAAAATAAGGGTTAATTTTGTGGTTAAAGTAAGGGTTTTTGTTAAGGATTTATGTTGTGGTTAAATTAGCGGTTTATGTTGTGGTTAAAGTAGCGGTTTATGTTGTGGTAAAAGTAAGGGTCTATATTGTGGTTAAAGTAAGGGTTTTTGTTGTGGTTAAAGTTAGTGTTTTTGTTAAGGATTTATGTTGTGGTTAAAGTAATGGTCTATATTGTGGTTAAAGTAAGGATTTATGTTGTGGTTAAGGTAAGGGTTAATGTTGTGGTTAAAGTAAGGGTTTTTGTTAAGGATTTATGTTGTGGTTAAAGTAATGGTCTATATTGTGGTTAAAGTAAGGATTTATGTTGTGGTTAAGGTAAGGGTTTATGTTGTTGTTAAAGTAAGGGCTTATGTTGTGGTAAAAGTAAGGTTTTATGTTGTGGTTTAAGTAGAGGTTTATGTTATGGTCAATGTAACGGTTTATGTTAGGTTAGCGTAAGATTTATGTTGTATTTAAAGTAAAAGTTTATTATAGGATTAAGAGTTTATGTTGTGGTTAAAGTAGTTGTTTGTGTGGTGGATAAAGTAAAGCTTCAGGTTATGGATATAGTAACGGTTAATGTTAGGTTTAAAGTGAATGTCATTTAAACATTGTAGGGTTTTATAGTGGCAGCGTCAGACATGATACAATGTTCTGGTTTAAGTGAGGATTAGTGTTAAGGTGACGGTAAGATTTGTGCTAAGACATGGAATCAGATTCGTTGTTATGGTTTGGAACAGGGTGAGGTGTTAATGCTGGGGTAAGGGTACTGACGCCGTGTAAGAGTTATTGTATTACAAGTCTACTATAATTTTGTATACAATTCTCTTCAGCACGATGCTATTGAGTACTGGTTACAGTGACAAAAGAACTATCTACTTTAATTTGTATCGAATTCCCATCACAAGTATTTTCCTTTGTACAACTGTCTAATTGTTTTTTCTTCAGCACGGTTCCAATGGAAACCGGACGACCCCGAAATTGTGTCTGATGTCCTGTTTGCTATTGCCAACGTGATCAGTTTTGCCAGAACCACCTACCTCATGCCAGCCTTCGAAGTGCTGGGACCGTTACAGATCTCTCTGGGCCGTATGATAGGCGACATTACGCGCTTCATGGTGCTCTTTATGTTGGTAGGTGTACATGGTAGCTGGCTGTAATGCGATATAGGTAATCCATATAAAAGTATAAAGCTTATCATCATGGTCCAAAAGACACAGTTTTTACGACTTTTTGTGTGTGTCCTGTTTTGTTGTGGTTAGATTATATTTAGTACATGACACTTTATCATTTAAGGTCCTGTTTTTTCGTCATGTTCAGCCATTATGCAATGCAATAAACTTTACCATTTTAGGTCTTCTTTTGTCCATACTTTTGTAGGTCCTGTTTGCCTTCATGGTCGGTCTACATAACCTGTACTGGTACTATGGGGCTCAAAGGATTAAGATGACAATGAACGGCCAGATTGTCTACGTACACGCTGCAGAGGCCTTTCAGGGGTATCGTATCATTTAATATATACTAGTGATTTCATAATGTTAAAATAGTTCACATTGTCGGATGTCTTACTTTGCAGAAGACTTTCCAAATAGTAGACCATGGGTTATAGATTTGATAGATGTGCTTTTGCTCTCCATTGTTATTTGTTACAACAAAGGTTCTATTTCTTGTGACCTACGATATTGTTTACCACAGACGTTCTCCTGTATAATTACGTTACGGACTTTCTTTAGAGTGTTACGCTTTACGACGGACCCCCGTTTTACTGTGTATCGTTGTGACGAACGTTCTATGCGGTGTTATTTATTACATCAAACGTTGTTTGTTTCAATGTTACATATTACGAAAAACATTAAACTTAATGTACCAGGTCAAGACCGACGTTCTCTTCAATGCAAATGTTCCTACAAAGTTTGTTTGTGTCACTTGTTAATTAATTCGATGCTGCAGGTCACGACAAACGTTCTGTTTACGTTATTTGTGAGCTTAAATGTTCTGTACAGTGTCGGAGAATACGACAGAGGTTCTCTCTCGACGTTATTTAAGTTACGTTAAGTGCAAATTTTACAGGTTACGACAGAGGTTCTGTTGATGTGATTTGTTAGGTTAATTGTTTTGTTCAATATAACAGGTTACAACAAACATTTTGTTGGTGTGATTTGTAAGGTTAAATGTGTTGTTCAATATTACAGGCTACGACAGACATTCTGTTGGAGCTATGCTTTACGTTAAATGTTATATTCCATGTTACAGGCTACGACAGACGTTCTGTTGGAGCTATGTTTTACGTTAAATGTTATATTCCATGTTACAGGTTACGACAGACGTTCTATAGTCTCTTCTGGTCAATGTTCGGCCAGGTTAGCATCAATGACATCAACGTGAAACACCCAGGTCCTGAGGGAAGTATGTATCTGAAACAAGCATAGTAAGAGAAACAACTCGTTTGCCCCATGTACAATAAAACAACTTCCTAACCCGGCATTGTTGGCATGTATTTTACTACTCTAACATGTTAACGTTAAAACTAACTACAGATCAAAGCAGTGCTGTTTATGTCCTAAATCTAAATGTTAACGCATCCGCATGCAATTATAAACAGTAGGTTAATTATAAACAGTAGGTTAATTTTACATAATGACAATGTTTAATAATTATACCATGTTTTACTAATATAACATATATATGTAGTACCACTGTATCCTTCTGTGGGCCGGCTATAATGTTATCTATTATCACCTTCGAGCAACTGCTGGTGTCATGATACGTCATGCACGTGTATTAGTGTGACGTATTATCACCGACCGTTAGGGTACACGTCAACATATGACATATAACAGCGTCATTTTAATAAGACTTTGTGAAGTTATCAATCATCTTAACAGTGGCTGTTTGATGGGAGCTGTTTAATCTGTGGTACATATAAATAATTTGCAAATTCAATGCACATCAATAATGGAGGAAAATGTACGACAAAATGGTGATTGTGAATTAGTTATCTTAATTAATCTGAGTAATACAAATTCCCTATTTCGTTTATTTGATTAAAAGTGTCATTCTATAGTGAACAATCTCCTACAAAAATATAACTATGTTGAATATTATTTATTAAAAGATGCTAATAAACGATGCTAAATGTGTCAATATCTATATATAAGCAGTTGTATATGATGTGTTTTACATTATTTTTTATTAATAGATATCAGAAGTTTAAGAACACGAACATTCGTAAACAAGTACGACACACAGTAAACATGTCCCTATATTCTAGTACCTTTAGGATTCCTAATTATAACTGTACATGTTTTATGTTGATGTTGTTTCTCCAAATTTGTGAATTTGTCTGACAACCATCTTTCAAGATTGCATTTTTCTCGATGATTAAATGCGCTTGTGATCATATTCACCAACTACAAAAGAGGCGAGCGATGTAAGACAACATCCCATTTATTTCAATACTTAAACTTTTAGCTCGGGAAATAGGGAACACATACAGGTAATAGACCAGAACGCTACTATCTTAAATATGGAAACGAACATTTTAAGTAACCGAACGTACTAAGGGGAATAACTCTTAGATTTGTTCAGAAAAAAAATGGAAAGACAATCGCCAAGAACAGATTGCTCCCCTTAGTACTTACGTTTATATCTTACAGAAGAATTATTCACACAACCGATTTACAAACCAATGAACTTCATTTTCGTTTATTATGACAAGGAAATTATTTTAAGTTCAAATTTTATTAAATGAATAAGCAAATAGGCAAAAAATAAATAAATGAAAAAAACAACATAATGTAACAACTCAAAGTCATATGAACGCCATGTCTAAGTAATCGCACCGCTTGATTTCAATCTGACATATTCAGTACATGTATATGAACAATCTGCACAATTGTCGTTACAACTGATTTTTGCGTCGCGTTGGTTCATGAACGTAAACGGCGTTGTTCTCTTTATCGATTTGACTTTGCACAAAATGTAAACTGTTGTTTGTTTGACGAAAAGTACATTAGGTTGAAAAACTTGTTTCTGTTTCCTAGAAATACGCATTGTTTTCAGTGCAGTTGATAATTTGATCCTTTAATCGCACTTAAATTTATACAAAATCAATTTAATTGAATGCTGTCAAGGTGTAGTAAACCAGCTTGAGGATTCGGTCGGTCATTACTTTTATTGTTCAGTTTCATCTACCCCAACCATGGGTGGTGTTAGGACAGACATTCTTCACTAGTGACAGAGTCTGCGTGAGGAAGTCAGTGCTAGACCGGGCTATTGAGAAACCTGAGAGTCGAAAAAGACGAAGATGGTAATTCAGTAGGTAGTGTACCTTCTGCCATCGACAAATTTTAAATAGAAATTTGGCATATCACTTTTACATTAACAATTATCGTTCTTAATTATGAAAAGTTAGGGAAAAGAATGAGTATTTATAATAAAAGGCGGCAACAACTTTTGGCAATATGACAATGTGGTCAATGAAAATGAGACAATTTACATGTAGTTAGTAGTCATTAGGTAATATCAGTATAGTACATATATACTACGGCAGTGCTCTACCTTGGTATTTGTTATAGAATTATGAGTGTGATATTGGTATATTAAGTGTGATATCGGTCTGTCAAACTCATAACACTATACCGATGTCAAACTAATAACAATATACCGATGCCAAACTCATAACACTATACCGATGTCAAACTAATAACACTATACCGATGTCAAACGTCCAAGAATTCACTTTTCTTTTTTATATCGATATAGTATACATATGTACTAGTGACAGTGCAAGCGTTGTATTGATATAGTATACATATGTACTAGTGACAGTGCAAGCGGTATATCGATATAGTATATATATGTACTAGTGACAGTGCAAGCGGTATATTGATATAGTGTACATATGTACTAGTAACATTGCAAGCGGTATATCGATATAGTATACGTATGCACTAGTGACAGTGCAAGCGGGCATTCATACATGTAGCTTATGTAAACATGTATAATTTACATTTTACATCATATAAATACTCAATCATATACTCTGTCAAAGATATATATATTTCATTTCAAATCAATTTTATTGTATTCAAAACAGATGTTAATGAATGTAATCATATAGACCGATTAATTGATAACAAACATCATAGCGAAGTACAGTATAGCTTTATTTATAATCTATAGGAGTCAGTGGTGTACGGGAGACAACATCCGCATAGTTGTCCAATGAAAGAATAGCCTACACCTGAATCCATTCTCTTATCAAGAACAATAGTCTTTGTTGTTGTACGCGACAAATATATATCGCACAGATGCATAAGGTTCATTCATAGAAACCTGTGTTGCATAATCTTTAAATACTTCATATTTAAATATATATAGATTCATCGACAGTTAATAGAGCATCAGTATTTGACACAATATCACTGAACAAACAGACTGAAAAAATATATAATATATAAAAGTTAAAAGGTATATCTTATATCATGTAGACTAAATGGCGGTGTATAATATCTATATGTTGTAAAAGGAAAATTAAATAAAACAAATACAATGTAGATGAATAAACAAGTAAATAAAATACATTAATAACATTAGCTCCATTGATTGAAATGTACACGCAAAATCTATGTTTCAGAGTGCACAGTCATGTATCTTAATTAGTTAGGAAATTTCCGATACATCATCTAGCAGAGTATGGAACGCTTGTGAAGGACTTCTTTCGTTTTTTAATCATTTAGTTGACGTTATTGATTATCAACACTAACTCATATCCCGAAACGGTGAGCAGTTGTTCGAAGGAACTTTAAATAAATGGGTGGTAATATTGATAACACTTGATGAAGGGGAACTAACTGACCCATGCTGTCCTTTCTTTCTGGCCGGGTGTAGATCGTCACTGTATGGTTATAGACTGTGCTCGCAACAAAATCATGTGCAGTCATGGTCTACACAACCGCTCTGCTGGTACTAGTGCATGTATGTATACAATCTTATTACTTCCTTACTCTATTCTTTTCCTAACTATTACTTACCATGTGTCTAAAAGATCTCGTTGATATATGTAAACGCTCTAGTTTGTCTTAGAATGCATTGTCTCATTCAAAACAATAGCTACTTTTCTCACAACCTTATGTGTTGTCGCTATAGTGTTAAGTATACTTTAATCCTGTGTTTGAGAAATTTATCAATGAATCAGAAACTTCACATTTCAAAATTGTCATTATCGAGCCTTATAGACATAGTGTATGGAAAATATTGTATCGCTTTTCAGGTCACCTGAGACAAAGTCTCGAGTGACCTATTGCGATCGCCTTTTGTCCGGCGTCGTGCGTGCAGAAACCTTCCATGGCCAAAGGTCAACATAAATTGTGAATTATATGGTCCCAAACCCCCAGGGGCCTGAAGGGCGGGGCCAGGGGCCAAAAAGGGTCAAATTAACTAAAACTTCAAAAATCTCCTTCTCAAGACCCAGATATGGTAGAATCAAATACTTTTTTTAGATGGAAGGGTCTTAAGGTGCTTTACCAAAATTGTGAATTTCATGACCCTGGGGTTGCACGTTTCCCCCTGGGGAGGGGATAAACTTTGCTATAGTTTATATAGGGAAATCACATTTAGAACCAGCATTTGTTTAATTTCCATTGGAATTAATTCAAACTTGGTTAGCATTATCAGTATTGGATAGCAGTTTGATGGTATGCACATATCAGCCCTGACTGACCCCCAGGGACGGGGCCAAAAAGGGTCAAATTGACTAAAATTTCAAAAATCTTCTTCTCAATATCCAGATATGGTAGAATCAAATACTCTTCATAGATGGGAGGTTCTAATGTGCTTTAACCAAATTAAGCTGACTGACAGAACCACTATTTGTACATAGTACATATACTACCCAGGTCTCTCACACTACTTTTGCATTACATGTAGTTCAAGTTACTTTTGTTACAAAATGAATTCTTTTTCATTAGGCAACATCGATAACATCAGTTTTTACATAACTCAGGTGACCGTTTAGGCCCACGTACCTCTTGTCTAATATAACACAGTGTTGTAAAGTTGTGCCAATAAACACACTTACCGTCTGTTCAGTTACGTCGTTTAAAGTCTCATCTCGCTACACGTGTGATACAAATGCATACCCATAACTGGGGTTAAATACATAAATGTCTGGTAAATAATACCCCAAGTCCTACATCACGAGACTACTACAGATTTTTAAGTTATGTATGGGCCAACTAGGGTCACAAGATCTAGAGGGCACAGATACAAACAAATCAACTAGTGTAACACGGGGGACAGAAACAGACATATCAACTTGTGTCACAACAG